CTTAAATTTTGATTGGCTTTCCGATACTTTTGTGTTACCTTGTGTACAAACACCCCGTGTACAAATAGTAATTCTCTTAATTTTATAGAAATTAAAAGTCAATACAACAACACATTTATGCTAAAAAAGATTTTTTAATTAATCTACTCTTTATTAATAAGATCAGCACGAGCAATTCTTGCAACATCTAAAAAGTTATATTAGTGTATAGTGGGAACAGACATACATTTACCTTTTATCAACCATAACATATGAAATTTAACGCTGCAATTAATGTTTCGGAAATTGCATGTCATCTGGAATTTTCTGTATGTTCTTGACGACACATCAACAATTGACACTGGTTTTAATAGATCATATTATCTGTGAAACTTTGAAATAATTCTATTCTAACATAGAGAACAATGAGCCCGCCAAACTGTTCAAGAAATAATGACATCTGCATTATTACCCATAAATATTTCATATATTCTCTTGGACAAAGCTTTGTTGACATATCTATTTCGTTGCCCTAAGCCGTTATTTTGAATCTGTACAAAAAAAAAAAAAATCAATTTAATTTCATGGAATCTCTTAATAAATAAAAATATAAATAAAGGCCAAAATAAACCAGATATTAATGTTAGAATGGTCCCATTATAATCCTGGTTTATTTTAGCAACTTAGCAAAATATCAATCGACCTCAACTTCGGTCAACAAATTCTCCGCATCTTCCCGAGTATGACATCCATGATACGCGTCATATAATGATTTAATAGTTGGATGCTTGTTTAGAATTCCTTTTGCTACAGGTTCAGTGACGTGTTGGATCTCTTGTAACATACGACACCACGTGTCGCTATGATCTACCCCAGCGCGAACTTGATTCCCAACCCAGAAGTTCAACTGCCCATTCCGATGCCTACCGTAACAATTGAAAGTATCAGGGTTACCTTTTTTCAGGCATGTTGCAATTAACAATAAAGTGAAATAACTTACTTATATGGAATTGTTGCGATATCGGTCGAAAGAGTACCTATAACCTCTGCAGTTTCTTCAATATCCTTGGTATGAACGATCATAACTTTGGCAATAAGTTGTAGCCAGATAAATTCATCCTCAATCTTTTCTAGATCTGGTCCTTTATTCATTATTGGTTTTTTTTTTGATTGACTATCATTTTCAATACCAGGTTCTTCCATTCTGATCCGAACTGCGTTAGTGAAAGTACGATTATGTTGTAATTTTTTCTTGCGACAATATCCATCAAAACCTTTAATTAACAATACAAGCTTCTTATTATGAAAAATCTTTTGCACATTACGGATGTGTGTATGTAACGAATCATTTTCAATATGTTGAACAAATATTTCAATCTCCAAATAAAGAAATACGTAGACTTCTTCTCTGATTATCTCTGGGACTGGTACAAAGGCGCATAATTCATCATTCCATTCAGATGTAACCTTTCTTCGAAATTTAATAATACCAGATACATTGTGTTGAAATGTGTTGATTGTCATCTTTTTTAACTCTAAATTATCGCGTATTAACGAACCAAAAGATCCCTCAATTAAACTATTTTCTATATCAACAATCATTTCTCGCGTCATTTCAAGCTTGTCAATTTTTAATTTGTTAACTTGTTGAAATTGCTTTTCTCTTTGTTTTTCTGCCTCCCGTTCCTCCTATTGAAAAACGGTTAATATTGTAAATATGTTACCAGAAAATCATGTAAAATATAAGTTAAAACATACTTTTTTACGTTGACGTTCCAATTTTTGTTCTTCCCTTTGCCGTTGCTTTTCTCGATAATATTATTATAATTTCTTTTGTTACTCAATATAATGATTTTAATTACTTACTTTTTCTATTTTTTCAGCTTCTTTAATCCGTTTAGAATCCTGCATTTCTATCTACGTCAGCACTGGCCCTTTTTTTATATGATGTGTATAATATACAATACAGTAGACTAGTCAAGTCGAGATTATATATAACTTAATCAAAACAAATAGAACAAAGCAATGATTTAAAGAAACCTTATGGTCGTTAAAATCAGGGAAGGGATTAGTATATAACAAAATTTTGAAAGTTTTCTCGTTAGGACGCGTAAGTCAGGTTTCAAATGTAGACATTCAATAATGCCCATGTAATCATGTAAATCAAAATACAGACAGTATTTCAGGGGGGCGTTAATAACGCTAAACCAAAATTATTCGTGAATAGTTATGTTTTTTTTTCGATTAGCATGAAACAAAAAAAAGGGTTTTTTTACATTTTAAATTATTATCTGTTATTTTACATACTAGTAATTTTTCAAAAAACCCGGTTCCTTTACTTCCCAAAGATATGAGGTTGAGTCAGGGCCAGTGATTTTCTGCGGTGATTAAGACCAAATTCTGCGTGTGATGTGCTGTTTTTTTTAGCACATTCTGTGTGATTCTGTAATTCTTTATTATTAAAATTCTCCAAAAAAAACAAAAAAGTTAATTGCCATTAAAATATCTTTATTTTTTCGTGTTGCCATTGTACATAATTAAAACAAATGATTAATATTTTAACATTTATTTTATATCTGAGAAAAATTATACATGAATTGCAACAATTACTATATTATAATTATTAATGAGCGTGAATTTGGAGCGTTATTCAAATGTGAATTGCCAATTATATAATATTTCTATATTTCTAACTATTTTTATACAAAAACACGATTCTGTAATTTTTCGCAGAAAAATCACCGGCCCTGGTCAGAATACTGCTATATCACCACATAATCACTACGTAGGATAGTGATTTAAATAAAATTTTTTGTGATTTATCATTTAGATTTTTCGTCGATTAAGTAATAATTATCGTTTTCAGAATTTAAAAGCTTTTGATATATATATGATATACTTTATTGGGTTATTTTACGTAAGAGAAAGATTTATATTATTAAATTGCATCACAGATCACACAGATTACTTATCGCTGAATTAATTAATATTTGTTAGCTATAACGAACATTTTAAATCGCATGCCATCCCTAATAATCACACATAATTATATGGGCGAAAATCTAATTTTTTTTTAACTTGAGTGATAAGGTTAATAAAATTTGAGCCAACCATACATGTGATATAACATGAATCGCTTATGAAATTTTTAAACCTGATCAG